GAATCTCAGGTCAGGCTAACCTGCTCCATTGGGAGTCTGCTTCTCCCTCTGCCCCTCCCCCTATTCATTCTCTTTCTCTCTTTCAAATAAGTAAATATATAAAATCTTTTTTTTTTTTCAAATTTATTTATTTATTTATTTATTTATTTATTTATTTATTTATTTATTTATTTATTTATTTATTTATTTATTTATTTATGATAGTCACAGAGAGAGAGAGAGAGGCAGAGACACAGGCAGAGGGAGAAGCAGGCTCCATGCACCGGGAGCCTGACGTGGGATTCAATCCCGGGTCTCCAGGATCGCGCCCTGGGCCAAAGTCAGGCGCTAAACCGCTGCGCCACCCAGGGATCCCTAAAATCTTTAAAAGAAACTGCCAAACTATTTTCCAAAGTGGTTCTACCATTTTACATTCCCACAGGCAATGAATGATAGTTCCTATTGCTCTGCATCCTTCTCAGCATTCGATGTTGTTAGTTAGTTAGTTAGTTAGTTTGGATTTTGGCCATTCTAATAAGTGTGTAGTGATATCTTGTTTTAATTAGAATTATTTCATGAAATGTGATGTTGAATATCTTTCCATATTCTTACTGGCCATCTGTATTATCTTTGGTGATGCGTCTGTTTGCGTCTTTTGCTCATTTTTAAATTGTATTGTTCATTTTCTTATTGTTAAGTTTTAAGAATTCTTTGTATATTTTGGTTATCAGGTCTTATCAGATATGTCTTTTGCACATATTTTCTCCCAGGTTGTGGTCTGTCTTCTCATTCTTTTGATACTGGCTTTTGTAGAGCAGAGGCTATTTATGAAGGAAGTCTAGCTTATCAATTACTTTCATGGATCATGGTTTTGGTTGTTGTATTTAATAAGTCATTGCCATATCTAAGGTCATCTAGGTTCCTATGTTATCTTCTAGGAGGTTTATAGTTTTGTGTTTTACATTTAGGTCTATGATCCATTTTTTTAAAAAGATTTTATTTATTCATGAGAGACACAAAGAGAGAGAGAGAGGCAGAGACACAGGCAAAGGGAGAAGCAGGCTCCATGTAGGGAGCCTAATGCGGGACTCAATCCCAGGACTCTGGGATCACACCCTGAGCTGAAGGCAGATGCTCAACTGCTGAGCCACCCAGGTATCCCAGGTCTATGATCCATTTTGAGTTAATTTTAGTCAAAAGTGTAAGTTGTGTGCCTAAATTCATTTTTATGCATGTGGATGCACAGTTCGAGGACCATTTGTTGAAAAGATGTTTTTGGTCCCTTGTGATGTCTTTGTTCCTTTTTCAAAGATCAATTGACTATAATTATGCAGGTCTGTTTCTGAGCTCTGTACTCTGTTCCATTGATCTACTTGTCTAGTCTTTCACTGTCTTCATTATAATAAGTTTATAATATGTCTTGAAGTCATTGTCAATCCTCTAGCTTTGTTCTTTTCCTTCAGGATCCTGTTAGGTATTCTAGATCTTTTGCTTCTTGATGCAAACTTTAGAATCAGTTTGTTGGGATCTGTAAAATTACTTTCTCAGATTTCATTGTATCTATAGATCAAGTAGGGAAGAATTGACATCTTGACAATATTGAATCATCCAATGAACATGGAATTTCTGTCTATTTAGTTCTTCATATCTATCATCCGAGTTTTGTAGTTTTCCTTGTATAAATCCTGGTACCTGTTTTGTTAGATTTATACCTAAGTATTTCATTTTTTGTATGCTAATATAAACAATAATGTCTCTGTTTCCTTCCTGGTATCTGGGAAAGAATGACTTTTGTACATTAACTTTATATCCTGCAATTTTGTTATAATTACTTATTCAAGTTTTTTGGTAAATTTTTTCAGATTCTCTGCATAGATTAATAGTATCATCTGCCAACAACAAGTTTTATTTCTTCTTGCCAATCTGTATTTGCTTTTCTTGTCTTAGCATTAGCTAAAAATTCCATTATAGCATTGAAAAGCAGGGTTGAGGGGCACCTGTGGAGTAGTCAGTTAAGCAACCGACTGTTGGTTTCAGCTCAGGTCTGACCTCAGGTTGTGAGATTGAGCTCTACACGGAGTGTTGAGTCTGCTTGAGATTTTCTCTTCCCCTCCCTCTGCCTCTCCCTCCACTCACATGTGCTCTCTTTCAAACAAATCTTAAAAAGAAAGAAAAATGAATCCTTGTATTCCTCTAGGCTTTTAATAAGTATAAGTGCTAAATTATATCAGATCCATTTGTTGTTTACCGAAGAGTATGGGCATACAGGTGATAAAAGGAGGGGAGATGACTTTGAGGGAAGGAAGAGGGGTGAGGAATATATAATTAGCATTCTGTTCATATTTGGAACCTGATTTTCTTGGTTGTGCTTTTTACTCTTATTGGTCTGTGAAGCCATATGGCAGGTTGTATACTGAATCTATGCAGTTAACTCCAGTGGCTTTTTCTAATATCATTAAATGTCTAGGTTCACCTGATACATCCTGCTATATTTAAGTTTCCAACTAATTTCCTCAGGTGAAGCCTCTTTACCAACTGCAGTGAACTTTTTTTTTTCAAAACATCAAAAAATGAATATATTTAATCATACTCAGCTCGTAACAGCAAATGGGTAAGAAGAATAATTCATACTATAGCATATTGCTAATATGAACTGGCAACAGAAAAAGTTGGTATAAGAACGCAGAAAAACTCTTATCTTTTAAGAATTAGAACCGAGGGGCTCCATAATCATCTGGCATCCGCTCAATGTTGTACCTATGGTTAGAAACGTACATGATGGGAACTCCAGGGATCTTCTGGATCCTTCGTGTAAGGTCCCGGTCAACTGTGGCCACAATGTAACACTTGTGCTGAGTTACTCTCTGTACTAAGCAGTCATCTGCATAGGTTCCTTTGTGTGTGCATGGCAATCATTCAAATCTCGGATCCTTGGCAATCCTTAGAGCCACTCGATACTTTTGCCCCAGTTTCTCAATTTCAGCCATTACACAGTCAGTTATACAAGGGATACACTTGGCATACAGACAGTCCATCATTGACTGTACTAAGTCAAGTTTGGCTTTAATGGAAAAGTTGATAAAGTTGGTATCAACCAGGATGTGGTAAGGTGGGCCCAGCTGTGTGTTATATTGGAAGAATAAGCAGGAAGGATGTTGGGGGACTTCTCTTTCCTTGAGTGCACTGGGATCTTTCTTTTCTTTCTTTTTAGGTTTTAATCTATCCTTCTCTTTAAGCCTCTGATCTCGGAGACTAAGCTATCAGTTCATGGTCGCATACTTTCTTGCTTTCTTTTGCTTCCCCATGTTCATGCCACACTCTTGTTTTTGCAGTGGACTTTGATATTTCTGGTCTTTCATACAATTTTTACTCTAAGTATAATAGGCTTATCTTGTTTCTTATATCAGTAATTGTTTTCTTCTGTGTTCTCAGCTCATGAAGAGAATTATTCTGTTTATATCCCCACAGCTCTTACTGAATTGCTCAGTAGGCAGGGAATTGGTTTATAGAGGAGCCAGGAAAGTAATTTAAGATTTTCTCTTTATTGAGACCATTTTCTTAACTATTATTTTACTGCCTCTCCAATCCTAATCTTTCATTTTACCGTGCCCACCATGTAGGTATAGATCTTGATTCTTTGTTCAGGTATTACAGAAAGAGGTCTGGGATTCCCTGGGTGGCTCAGTCAGTGAAGCACTTGTCTTCGGCTCAGGTCATGATCTCAGGATATTGGGATCAAGCCCTGTGATGGGTTCCCTGCTCAGTGGGTAGTCTACTTCTCTCTCTGCCTGTTCCCTGTACTGTTTCACTCTCTCTCAAATAAATAAATAAAATCTTAGAAAAAAAAAGAAGTCTATTTACTTTTCCTTAGAAGCTTATGGTCAATGATAATAAATAAAAGTATTTAAAATGTTAAAGTGTGTTTTAGAGAAAAATGAATTTTTTAGTGTATATGGAAATAATTTTAAACTTCCAGAAAACTTTCAAGAATAGTGCAAAGAATACCCATAAGCTCTTTACTCAAATTCCGCTATTACTAACATTTTGTTCCATTCCCATCATCATTTGGTATATGATTTTTTTCTCTGAAGCATCTGAGAATAAATTATATATAATGGCTTTTTACCCCCAAGTATTTCCTAAGAATTGGAATATGAGTGAATATATATTTTTAAAAAGTCTTCATAGTATTATATAGTTTTCCTCCCTGAAAATGATAAAGTACCTTCCTAAAATTTAGCCTGGAGAAAATCAGGGCCTATGTTTGACTATTAAAAGCATCTGATGGGACTCCTGGGTGGTTCAGTTGGCTAAGTGTCTTGACTCTTGGTTTTGGCTCAGGCCATGAGGTGGAGCCCTGAGTCAAGCTCTGTACTTAGTGGGGAGTTTGCTTCAGATTCTCTCCCTCTTCTTCTGCCCCTCTTGTTTGTGCACTCTCTCTAATAAATAAATATTTTTTTAAAAAAGCATGTGGTGGAAAGACACTGTTATACCAAAGTTGAGCTTTACTTGTCAGTTTGGAAAGTAGAGAGAGGATCATAGGCAGTCATTTTCAAAGACATATCTTTCACTTACTTATTTAGAATAAGTCATGGTAAGATGTTTCCTGAGGCATTAAGTGAACAGTTTGATGCTTTTATGGGACCAGAGGAACACTCATAGTTTATTAGCAGCATTATAAATTTGTCTTTTTCAAGTCCTTTTGGGTGCAGAAAAGTTTAAGTAGAGCTGGGGAAGACGAGAACACATCCTTCCCAAGTATTTATCTTCCTGTCCTGCTTTTTCCCCCTCACCTTCAGTAACTTCTGCTTTGTTTTTCCTTATTTACCTACATCTCTCCTCTGATGTCTTCTGAATTTCTGAGCATACTGCTCAGATTTCAGTCTGTATGAGAACTATGAAAGCCATGCAGTGTTGAGATTTTTTTTTCCTGCTTTTTAAAAATCGGTCATTGAAAAAGTGAGGAGTGGCTTTACTTTACTCAATAGAGGAAAAACAAACATTTGTTTTTTCATTTTCAGAGTCTCATGGTGAGATCAAAGAATTTTCTCCAAATAATGTCATATGTGAATATGATTCATCCCAGTATTTGGTAGTGGAAAGAATTCTTAACCAAGACCCTGACCATTCCAGTTTTAAAGGAGGCTGGAAATGTGAAGAAGATACCCAGATGCAAGGAAATCAGGGATGTATCAGGCAAGTGACAGACTCTCATTCAGGAGCCCTGTCTCAGCACATGAGTATCAATACTGTGGAGAGACCCCATGGATGTCATGAGTGTGGAAAAACTTTCAGTCGGCGCTTTTCCCTTGTGTTACACCAAAGAACTCATACTGGAGAGAAACCATATGTGTGTAAGGAATGTGGCAAAACCTTTAGCCAGATTTCAAACCTTGTGAAACATCAGATGATACATACTGGAAAGAAACCCCATGAGTGTAAGGACTGTAATAAAACATTCAGTTACCTCTCATTCCTCATTGAACACCGGAGAACACATACTGGGGAGAAACCCTATGAATGTACTGAATGTGGAAAGGCCTTTAGCCGTGCCTCAAACCTCACACGACATCAGAGAATTCACATAGGAAAGAAACAGTATATATGTAGGAAATGTGGGAAGGCCTTTAGCAGTGGCTCAGAACTCATTCGCCACCAGATTACACATACTGGAGAGAAACCTTATGAATGCATTGAATGTGGGAAGGCATTTCGCCGTTCTTCACACCTTACTCGGCATCAGAGCATCCATACTACCAAAACTCCCTACGAATGTAATGAATGTAGGAAAGCCTTCCGTTGCCACTCGTTCCTTATTAAACATCAGAGGATTCATGCTGGAGAAAAGCTCTATGAGTGTGATGACTGTGGTAAAGTTTTCACATGGCATGCATCTCTTCTGCAACACATGAAAATTCACACTGGAGAAAAGCCCTATGCATGTACTGAGTGTGATAAAACATTCAGTCGAAGCTTCTCCCTTATTCTCCATCAGATAACTCACACTGGGGAGAAACCCTATGTATGTAAGGTGTGCAGTAAGTCCTTCAGCTGGAGCTCAAACCTTGCCAAACATCAGAAAACACACACTGTAGAGAACCCCTATGAATATGAAAATTCATTTAATTATCACTCATTCCTTACTGAACATAAAGGAATTCGCTCTATAGAGAAACCCTAAGAGTGTATGGTTTAAGAAAAAAAAAAACAAACAGTTCATGCCTTACTTTGGATTTGAGAGGACTCCCAGCAAGAAGCCTTAAGTGCATATGTTGAATGTGAAGAGAATGGGTTATACTTGATTCAACATCCTGGAGAAAAAAGTCACACAGGAATATGTGGGAAAGCCATTAATAGCTGCACATTCTGTAACATCAGAAGATAAAATCAGTCAGTACTGAGAAGACTTCATTGGTAGGATTCCCGCACTCTACATTTATAAATTCCTACCAGGAAAGGATACATGGCCAATAAATGTGAGAAAGCTTTTAATTGGAAATTGGCCCTAATTCTGCATCTGTCAGCTCAAACAGGACAGAGTGTGTGGACAAGAGTGCATTATTTCCTGGACATCAGAAAATTTATAATGAAGCATAGTCTTACAGAAGCAGTGATTTGGCAATGTCTGTGTACCATGCAATATTTATTAAATTTGAAAATACTCTTCTAAGGAGAAAGAGCAACCCTATAAATGAATAGAAGTTGACTTTCTGCTTTATTTCCGAACTGCAGAATTATACTGGGAAGCAAACTACCATCGTAAGGAGTGTGGCAAAATCTTAGGAGTCCTGAGACATCCTACTGGAGGGAATTTGGGGGAGATGATTTTTGTTTGTTTTAAAGCAAATTTAGAAAAGAAAGTTATGAATAAATACTTTGTTTTTTAGTTAATCAATCTGGTACTTGCACAGTTTTTTTCTACAGCATTTGTGGTTCTGAAAATGCAAATACCCCAATAGTGATGTCAGCAGTGAAGACTGATGTGCATTTGTAGAAACATACAGGATTACAGAAACACTTTTAAGAACTTAGGGCTTTAGCTTTGAGATATAGTTTAGATTTAAGGTTTTGCTAACTCGTGTTTATTCTTGAATATGACTAGCCCTGTCTTAGTGTGAAGTAAATGTAAATAAGTTATGTTGTAGGAAGATACCAAGGTGGTTTTCCTCTTTTGTTCCATTTTCAGTGGGAACATTCCTTTTGTAAGCACATTATTTGTCACAATAAACCAGATGTTCTGACTCTTCATGTACACCTTGCCTATTTTTTAATGTCCCAGTTAAAGGTGTATCTTATCTTGGAACCATCTATCTGCTTTAAGACTTGGCAAGATAGGTAATACACAGTTTAGCGGTTGAATAAGTGCCTCATTTAAATACATTTTTTCGTGTATGGGCAAATCTTTCACCAAGTGAGAAGCTGGCCAATTTCTTTCCTACCTACTATGATATAACATAGCTGTTGTCTAATAATTTCCTCAGAGCCTCAATTGCTACTGGAATAGCTCCATTGTACAAATCCTTCCTTTCCTATGGTGTGGCAGGCACCATGTAAGGGGGTCTTCGTTGAACAAAAATGTATTTGTCAAAAAAAAATGCATTTGTCATTTCAGAGGTTTGAACATCCAGGGATGTGGTCATAGACTTGTCTCAGGAGCAATGGGGCAGATTGGAACCTGACCAGAAGAATTTATATGGGAATGTAATGATTGGGAACTATGGGAACTGCATCCGAGGTTACCATTCCTCCAAATTCAGAACCTCAAGCTAGGTATCTTTGCTTTCTCTTTAGTAAAAGCAGGTGGGCTTGCAGTTGCCTGCCTGAATTCTATTCTAGGTTCTTGAGGAAACAAAATTGGCAGAAGTGGGAAGTGGTTTCTATTCTTCCTTGAAGGCTTTTGTTCTCTTCTAATACCTTCTCCTTTATATTAAGAAATTGAGTCTGGGATCCCTGGGTGGCGCAGCGGTTTGGCGCCTGCCTTTGGCCCAGGGCGCGATCCTGGAGACCCGGGATCGAATCCCACGTCAGGCTCCCGGTGGATGGAGCCTGCTTCTCCCTCTGCCTGTGTCTCTGCGTCTCTCTCTCTCTCTCTCTCTCTCTCTCTGTGACTATCATAAATAAATAAAGAAAAAAAATATTTTTTTTTAAAAAAAAAATTGAGTCTGGATCTAGGAAGAACCATAATCTTTTGAAGCATCTATTTTCTCCCCTATTGCAAGCAGGACTATTTTTAAATCAAATGTGACTTATTGAAGCAAGGGAAAGAGAATGAGGGAGAAAAAATGTCAAGAGGCCTATGATCAGGTAAGTGTGGGGCAATCGCAGGGAGTGCCGTGGTGGGCAGTAGTCCAGCTTACCAAATCCCATGAAGCATTTTCTCAAAAACAGTTAACTTTCCCTTAAAATTCCTTTCATGCAAAATCATTCTGAACTATGTAACTCATCCTAAAGGTATGCTCATTCATTTGTGGTTAAGATATTTCAGAAAATAGGAACTATTTATTTGAAAGCTATTTATTTGGGAGAAAATGCGTGCAGTGGGTAAGGACAGAGGGAAAAGGGGAGAGAGAATCTAGCAGACGCCTGACGAGGGGCTTAATCCCATGACCTGAGCTGAAATCAGGATTCCACCACTTAACTGAGCCAACCAGGTACCCCTGCTATTATTTTTAATTAAATTAAATACAGATAATTTCTAGATTATACAATAAGATGTTAAGATGCCACTGGGGGGGAAATAATTTGTGGGTATTTTCATTGTATGTTTTATTTGTCATAGCAAGAAGGTGTTGGCAAGGCTTATAGTTGCTTTCTTTCACTCAATTTTAGCACAAAAATCTGTAAAATCTTTCCATATTTAACAATCTTTTATAAGCTGTAGTGCTTTCCAGAGGTAGCAGAAAAGGAAAAAGGAAAGTTGCCTGTTTTTCAGAATGAAACTCTGTAACAGTAGCCAGGCACACAAGATATAAAAGCAAACAGTAGGAGAAAAACATGTATGATGTTACACTTTAAGTCACTTGTAGAACATAGTATTATTTCAGTTCCTATTTGAATTGTTGAGACAAGAAACAATGGTACTCTATAGTGTGACCATCTCCATACATGTAAAGGGATGTATTACATCCTCCTTGAACATGTTGAACAATGTAGTATAAGAAGTTTCTATCTCAGACAATTTTCTTACGTTTGCATATTTAACATTTAGTGCAGGAATGCAACCATTATTTCAGGTAAGACAGTTAGAATATTTTCATTACTCTGCTGCCATTTACTCAATTATCCATTTGTTGTTAGAGCATCATACTCCTAATGAATAGGCCTATCCTTTATAGAAGAGCACATAACACATGGTATCTTTTCTGGAGTGTGACTCCCTGTATAATTTCCATGTGAAACCTTCCTTAATTGAGTTTCCCTTCAGAATAATTATCTTGCATATACTCAGGCTGAGCGTACGGCTGAATGACTCTCAGTATCTGGCACACTCATAGATGTGACTATCCTGCAGTTGTGTTTCTCTAGTATGCTTGCAGCAGTTTTTACTGTTAACTTCTTCAAGTGAATGCAATGTTATGAGGTTGGATTTAACTGCTGCTTAAAATGTCTTCAAAAAGTTTACTTCAAGGGATCCCTGGGTGGCGCAGCCGTTTGGCGCCTGCCTTTGGGCCAGGGCGCGATCCTGGAGATCCGGGATCGAATCCCACGTCGGACTCCTGGTGCATGGAGCCTGCTTCTCCCTCTGCCTCTGTCTCTGCCTCTCTCTCTCTCTCTGTGACTATCATAAATAAATAAATTTTTTAAAAAAAGTCTACTTCCAAATAGGATGCAGAATTGTGGCAGCAACCAGAGAAAATACAACGAATTTTTAAAGGTATCGTTGAGCTGAGGAAAGAGTGATGACTAGGTGGACCAAAATATGACAGAGAAATTACAAGTGTTCCTGTGGTCAATTGAAGTTGAAATGGTAGATTAGCAACTTGAGAAGCTTCAAATGCACAGCCAGTTCCCTCCCCTGGGACATGTGCTGAGTTTCAGGGCTGTGTGGGTGGCCAGGGAGCCAGAATAAAAGCTGCTATCTCTTTTTCAAAGATTTTATTTACTTATTCATGAGAGACAGGGAGAGAGGCAGAGACACAGGCAGAGGGAGAAGCAGGCCCCAGTGCAGGGAGCCCAATATGGGACTTGATCCTGGGACTCCAGGATCATGCCCCAAGCCCAAGGCAGATGCTTAACCACTGAGCCACCCAGGCATCCCCAGAATAAAAGCTTCTAGAAGACTGAAGTATCTGCAGTGTCTGTGGTGTTTAGGAATGAAAAAAACCACCAGAGGAGGTGGCTCCCTAAAATCAATGCCCAGCCTCCTCAAGCCGTCTCATCAAAATTTGAAGCTGCACGGGGTAGGAGGTTGGAGGTTAAGGAGACGAGGACCTACCAAGTCCTCTAACTTAAAAGCTTTAGGAGAGTTCCAACCCCAAATCCAAAGGCTCAACAAGGGTGAACTGAGGCTTATTGAAGATTGAGTGAAGTGCTGACCCAACTCACTGTTGCTGGACTGAGGTGATTAACCCCTCAAACTAGCAGAAGAAAGGAGAAATTCTCTGGTAGAAGCCCCTGAAGTTCTTTTAAACATAATGTCTGGCAAAATATTTTTTTAAAAAATTAGGCGTGTGAAAAACAGGATCATACACAGACTTACTTTATTGTGCTTTGCAGATACTGCCTTTTCTTTTTTTTTTTTTTCAGTTGAAGGTTTTTGACAACCCTGTGCAGAGGAAGTCTATCTTTGCCATTTCCAACAGTATTTGCTCATTTTATGTCTCTACCACATTTTAGTAATTCTGATATAATATTAAAGTTTTTCTCCATTATATTGAATTGCTGCAATCTAATGGTAACATGTTACAGATAAGGAGCTGCTTCTTATGGATGAACAAAGAAAGTGGCTCTCTGAGATGGAATCTACTCTTGGTGAAGATGCTGTGAAGGCTGTTGAAATGACAAAGAATGTAAAATATTACATAAACTTGGTAAAGCAGTGGCAGGATTTGAGAGGATTGACTTTAATTTTGAAAGAAATTCTATTGTGGATAAAATGCTACCAAACAGCATCACATGCTATAGAGAAATCGTTTATGAAAGAAAGTAATTAATGGATCAAGCTTCATTATCTTAAGGAATTGCCAAAGCTACCCACCCATCAGTAACGACTGCCCAGACCAGTCAGCAACCATCAGCAAGGCATTACCCTCCACCAGCAAAAAGACTATAAAAGCTCATGTGATGGTTAGTGTTTTTTTTTTTAGCAAGGTATTTTTTTTTAATTAATATATGTCCATGGGGAGGAGAAAGTGTACTGCACATATAATTGACTATAGTATAAGCATAACATTTATATGCATGGGGAAACATTCATTTGACTTGCTTTATTGCAATATTCACTTTACTGTTGGTCTGGAAACAAACCTTCAATTATCTCCGAGGTGTGCCTGTAATCAATGAGACAAAATTAACAAGAGATGCAGACAGAGGTGACCTAGATATTGGGTGTTTTAGATTAGGATGTTGATGTAATTATGGCTAATATGTTAACATACAGGAGAGGATGGAAGAAAAAGGAAACTAGACAATTTCAGTTAGTAATTAGAATCTATAAAAAATAGTCAAATGGCTGTTCTAGAATTGAAGACACAGTACACGAAATTAAGAATTTAACACATGGGATCCCTGGGTGGCGCAGCGGTTTGGCGCCTGCCTTTGGCCCAGGGCGTGATCCTGGAGACCCGGGATCGAATCCCACGTCGGGCTCCCGGTGCATGGAGCCTGCTTCTCCCTCTGCCTCTCTCTCTCTCTCTCTCTCTCCCTCTCTCTCTCTCTCTCTCTCTCTCTCTCTGTGTGTGTGTGTGTGTGTGTGTGACTGTCATAAATAAAAAAAAAAGAATTTAACACATGGACTTAACAAGTTGAACACAGAACAATAGTAAACTGGAAGGCAAATCAACAAAAGTTCTGAGTGGGGAGGTGAGGGAGAGAAGAAAAATATGCAAAGGTCTGAATGAGGACTCTGACTTTTGCTGTTCCATGTATAAAGCTCTTTTGTCCCTCCACTCTTTATCATGGAGGACTACCTTCCTTTCCTTCAAATTTCAGCTTAAATGTCATCTCATGGAGACCTTATCTTGAGTGCCTTATCTAACACAGGTGCTCCTATTCTTATTCTAGCATCTTGTTTTTTACCCCCTTGTA